ATTTGAAGCGGAAACAGTCGGAAACCAGCCATAAACGGACTGGACGCCAGAAAAGTCTTTAGGGGAAAGATAAGGGAAGATTGCTGCGCAGGGCCTTGAACTCCGTGAGTTATGCTTCGGAGATAAAAACAACGATTGTGTTGAACGTTTCACTGCGAACGGTACGACGAACATTTAAAAAACAGCCAGTCCCTCGGATAAAATACACGAAAATAAAAAGGTGCACAGCTCGAATAGCTTTACAAACAGGAAGCTGGCCTACCCGGGAGCTTGTGAGTGTGAGGAAACAAATGGACGCCCAGTGGGCATATGATGTAGTGGTACGTGGTTCGCCGAGGACACAGAATTGGAACAGATAGTTTTTCGCAAACTGGAGATTAGCGAACATATTAAACTAAGGAGGACTGACTGCTGTTTGGATAGTGCGAACCAATTGTATCGACCTTCTGGGAGAGTTAAAAGATCCCACGGAACTGTACAGAACGGTGCGTTCCACCGGAGCTGTTCGCAAAGGAAACTTTTTGTACGGTGTATCAGAGTGAACAAAGTAAATCAGAAATTTTACTTTCCGACCTTGATCGGTACCGCGTCTCAGGGAAGCTACTGGAGAAACCGCTGTTATCTAGTTCGGAAAGAGAAACAAGTTTCGAGTTGACCCAATGGATGCCATGTTAAAACAGTACACCACCGGATGTGCATCACGGAAATGGATTATGACAGTCTTGGCGTGATATTGCAGCCGTGAATGTATGGATTTAACAAAACCTAGACCGAACGGCAAACAAGAGGCAAAAGCAATTTGGCATGATGCTTGCCCACGAGGTGAAAGAACCGTGCATGGTTGCGCTACGACCAGGGCATGGTACAACTGCTTCACAGCCGAATGCTCACCGGACGGAAGGAAAAAAGTGTGAAACCTGGAATTGCAAAAAACATCTATAGATGTGTTTAACAGTAAAGTTTATGAGAAATTATTCATGTCTATTTCAAACATTCTTGAGCATATTTCGTTCCGATCCGGTCGAATTCACACGAAATTGGCCCATAAACGGTTAGTGATTACCTAGCGGGGTGTTATGTGGTTCGCCACTCCAAGTCCCGTGGATTAGGCTAGTGGTCTCCATCACCGAACACGTCTTTACGACTATGGGGTTTACCCCGTCTGCTGTTCATCACACAAAGTTGACAATGAATGCTACTGATCTAAACTTTGGCCAGAAAATGAATCAACCCACCTTGATCTGCAAATCTGACCGATTGTTTGTCACTGTAACCCCTGGTCCATTTTTTCACAAAACACCTGAGTCATACTAGAGTCACAGTTGTGACAAAATACCCAAGTTATAATTAGGAATGAAAGGGTGTCAGTTGCGCGTCACTATCGCGACAACGGAAACCGATTGATAGCCTTCCAGGTACAGGAACATCATAATTTGCACGAATCATGCTAGTTTGTTGAATTAAGTATTCTAACAAAAGAAACCATTTGACGAGAACCAATCTCGGCACTTACCTATCTCGCAGGATTGTCCATAGTTCACCGCCGAGACATGCTTCCAAAAGCATGTACACGTATTTGTTATCCCGATAAGTCGCATACAGCCTTGTCAAACCGAAAAAACAGAGCAGAGTATGAATGTTGGAGGTGAGGCTGGACATCAAGTAAAATACGCACAAAATTGGGAGCTATCGATTTTTACAGGTGTGCATTAAAACATACCGCACAGCACAAGGAAATATATCCTTAAAGTAACGGCGGGCTATTGGTGCTCATTCAAGCAAATCAACAGACGAGAGGGTGTGAGCTATGTTCAAGTTGTCCCACGTGGTTGTGGACAGACACCACAGAAATCGTGAACTGGGAGCGGATCAGAGTGTTTCGATGAGAAAGACATAATGGCCACGAGCTTCTAGTGGTCCTCACCGATGTCCACGCACAAGGTCTCACATTTAAAATCTACATCAGCAAACTTGGAGCTGAGTCAACAAAGTGCGATCCCAGAAATTTGTGCAGAACTGTCGTGCGTTTGGCCCTTCCCTGTCCCAGGACAGAGGTCACCGACTTTCTTTGTCACCAAGAGAGGTTTTCGTGTCTAGGGAGTCGCGGGTTCTACTGTGCAAAATGCAACAGCGAGTAAGTGGAGCCGTATCCCCCAAAATGGGTTACTGAACGAAAATGTAATCGATTCCGAAGCACATGAAACCTCCACCTTGTCACTGGCACTTAACAATTATGTCACACGAGAGCGGTACTTAAAAAGTTTGCGAAAGCCCCCACACACACACACACACACACCACATAATCAGAATGACTGGGTAGTTAATAAACGTCAGGGAGTAGAAAATTAGATGAATGAAATGTCAAGACCAATTTTAACCCTGGAGGATGAGACAAAACAGAACAACGATCAACACAATTGCGCATGGAATCGGAAAACAAAATCACGAAATTGCAAGATGCATTTCTTGAATCGTTTTGCTCCGTCTGAACTGATGCTTACTGAAAATATATTTGAGTTGTTTCAAAACGCTTGCGAAACGCCACCGATTTGCAACGTTATTGATGAGCATGGTATCCTTGACAAAGACAATAATATTATCATTTGAGAGTATTATAGGATCTGATTTAATTATCGGATGAACGGAGTCGTGTACAGAGGAATTGAAACGTGAGCTGAAAAGCTAGGAAGCACTAGATAGCCGTTTCGACCCGACTGGGTCTTATCAGCAATGCCAATCCATTGATCCAACTGAGTGTCGAACCTGGGACCTCAATTGATTGTCGGACAACTGATCTGACCGTTTTTCATTCTGTCTATGCACGATAGAACACCATTCATCTTTGCGAGCTTAATGCAATCATCACATCTCGAGAATCTAACGTCCAGGGTTGTGACTCGGTCGGAAACAGTGCGAACCTGACTACTTGTTACATTACTGTTATGTAACAGTTTATGCATCATTTGCTCCGTACACGATGTTATTCACCGAATCAAGTTTTTTGTTTATTCTCCATAACATCGGACGGAACTGATCATTCTTGATGGAGTCGAATGGTAAAATCCTGTGGCAACAGACCAGGCTATTGGATCAGCAAAATCTCTTTCTATCAAGTGAGTTGTGATGGCACGACGATAGAACACGACACGATGAGCATAACAACGGCAGTCGTATAAAGTGACAAAGACAAAGGTGTGAATCGGTCTCTTAGTCGGAAAAACAAAACATTTTTTTCCTTTGAACCGTCTTGTTGAGTTCACGCCCTATTGCGGAACCACGGCAGTCGTTGGAACACCAATTGGTCAAGGGGTGGTGATCACGTGATACAGGCGAAATGAGCGCAGACTGCGAATCACGTCATCCACACGAGGATGTGTGACGGTAGACCCATAAAAGAATGTGTGCACACAAGTCAACACGAATTGATAAATGGATATTTCAACGGGAGATAAATGAGTTGAGAAAAACAGTTACATTGCTCCCCATACACGTACATCTCGTGGATTACCGACCACTGGGATGCAGTTAGAAAATGATTCATGTGATTGTAGTATTATTATTGAACCACATACTGCTGACCTGTTTTCCGATACTCCATTTGCCTGACAAGTAGTTACGTGTTCAACAACATGTAAACACCCCCTCCACATACACACACACACACAAAGAGAGAGAGAGATACCATCGATGAAATGAAAAAGGCAAAGTATGACGAGAACATGGTGCAACAACAATAACGCCAATATGGCACGAAGAGCCTGAATGAGAGTGTTTGGTGGAGGCATCACAACACCAGGCACAACCACGCACCACTGAGGACGCTATAGCACTCCACAATTTTCAAAGTATAAATTGACAAACACGATTAAATACCATCGATATTAAACTGTTCACCAGAAAACTTCTCTCTCAGTCGAATAAACTAGGGTTCCGTAGCCGGATGGCGTCAAATCGGATTATTTCAATCTAGCCAAACAAAAGCGTGCACTTACATGGTGCAGTCTATCATTGAATGGGTGTAAACCATAAAATTTGTTGATAGTCAGATAGGAGTGTTTTCCCTAGTTTGACACACGGACCTTTCTCTGTGCATCTCGGTTCATATAATGGTCAAAAAAATGAAAGTAAACTGCCGTGATATCGGAATTTGGTGATCAGGGAAATTAGGCCAAAGATGTTTGTCTTTCAAGAAGAAAAGTGAGTAGACGGATAGGCATGTGTAACGACGACGTCTAGGGACTGTGAGACCATCAACAGATGATGCTAGCGTTCACATACGCTTATTTATATTTATTTTTACAATTCCAAACTCCAATCGATTCTGATGAGCAGCTGAGATCGATCAAAACGAATAAAAGGGATTGAATGAAAACGAGGTAGCTGCATATGTGGCAGATTATCTGATGTAGGGGGGAGAGGGGTTGTAGCGTGCTAATATTTCTGGAAGGCTTCACCATTGCGTAACTTTAACTTCGTTTCGAATCAGAGTTAGCCATTGATGATCAGAAATAGGCAGACGGTTTTCCAGAATGACAAAGTGCCCAAATATCGTCACCCTGTCGCTTGCGAGTTTCATTTTCCGTGGTCACCACGATAAACTACCTGATCTCAATTCAGTCAAACATGTGTAAGATCAGTTTGGATGGAAATTGGATCCGTAGTGTTAATAAAAATCTCTAAGGTAGTTGAAGACAGTGCAGGCTGGATGGATAAACGCTGCTCAATCATGAAACTGGGATAGAGGGATGGGGAATGCAAGTTGAAACGCCCAGAATGGTAAAAAATTTGAACGGAAATTACCAGTTAGTTCAACGGATATATTTGAAGAATAGAGGAGCCGACAGCCACAAGAGGCTGATAATGTGCTTTTTATCAAACCCTGACCTGACCTGCTACATCTAACCAAAATAAGGTGGACAAGAAAAGCGGAAACCAAAAAATAACGGAAATAGAAAGGACAAGTCACGAATACAGGTGTGCCACTCTATGTGTGACGATCAAAATCGAACCGACCGCAAGCGACCAGCGAAAGCGAGGGAATGCAGACGTACCAGATCTGGTTGAGGAGGCAAACACACACGCGATCACAACACATGTACTTACCGACAAATAAACGGAGAGGACACGGAAGAGAGGATAAGTTTCTCGAAATGCACATGTTCTTGTTGGCGCGTTTGTACAATATGTTGTTTTTGCAATCGTTTCATGGCAAACGCCTGAGTTCGATCGTAGGTGAGGGTGACCTGATTGGAAACGAGGGGAATGGGGGGGTGGTGGTGGTGGTGGTGGTGAATGGTTCATATAATAATGTAATATATATATATGTATATAATATATTATAATATAATGTTTGAAAATATACAACAAATCGCATTTATCAGAGCTTACGTAAACTGTACCTAAACACACATATGCCGAAGCATGCGTGCATGTCCCAATAACTTCCTTCCTCGGTATGAAAAAATAATAATAATGTCGGTTTGGAACATTCCCGATTTGTTTTTTCTCACGACTAACTGTTAACCATGTCTCGATCAATCATGTCTGGCATTTCCAATCGAAGCATACCGATCTCGTCTAATCGATTAGGTGAATTCGCACAGTCTTAGATCGGCTAATGTTTCATGGTCCGAATTCACTAGGTGTAGTCACCGAGGAACAGAGAGAATCTGATACGTTCCAAGTGATAAATCAATGCCGAAATACTTTTCCCGGTTGCACAAACTGAATTTTATTCGCATTTTCTACCAGAATTTCCGGGTAACTAAACCAGACGGCCAAAACAGGGTTGAATAGTACACTGACAATGGCGCCGTTGGTAATAATGGAGCGATCAACCTACAGCCTAGCTCCTGCTCCCAGACCGGATAGACCTCTGAATTCCGTTAGAGGGTAAAACGGAATGGGGCGATAATTTTTCGTCCTCAAGTAAAAGCGGGGACGGAAGAGAAATAATCATTATTTGCGTGTTCCAGCTACAGAGAGAGAGAGACAGAGAGAGATGTGTGTGTGTGTGTGTGTGTGTGTGTGTGCATATTTTTAAAGCGTATATCCTTGATAAATACCAATTTACATGGTGAATTTCATCGTTATTGGAGCAAACGGAATGAGAGCTGAAAAGTTAGAAAGCGATGCACTACCACATTTTTTTCTTTTCCGCATCATTTCTCTCTCTCTCTCTATCTATCTATCTTATACACACATATGCACACTTACTGTACGGGATCTCGTTTGGAAAAAGCTGGATGATTGAAAAGCTAAACACAATCAGTTCCGGTAATCAAATTCATGAAAATCTCTTTTGGATTTGACGTGTACCGTTAGTCAACTTGATTTACGTTATCGCGACAACAACAACACCAACTACCACCACTACTACTACTACTACTACTACTACTACTACTACTACTACTACTACTATTGCAACCGTCAGACGGCACACCGATTACACACACGCATCTTACAGAATGTGTTCACTCCAATAACCAATGACCGGTAAAAAGCGGCTCATGCTCACTGCTGGTCTGTCTTTCCTGATGTTTCTCAAAGGGGTATAGAGCAAAGCAAGCGTGGACTGAAAAGCTAGAAAGCACTGGATTGCTGTTTCAACTTGTTTGGGTCTCATGAGCAGTGCGAATCCATCAACCCAACTGGGGATCGAACCCGAAACCTCACAGACAGAACAAAAGCATACTAACCACTCGGCCACCGGGCAGCTCATCAGACCGTTTTTCATTTCTATTTCCTAATGTTGCTGGATATCTCGCACAAAAGGCTTCAGTCAGAGAACGGTTTAAAAAGCCTTGAAACAATGAATTCCCTTTTTTATGACTCTCGGTTTTTAAAAATGAATTCGATGACATCGTGCCAGTGAGTGAACAGCTGACAATCCATCCATCCAGCCATCCATCCGAGATTTGAGTAGAGCTATTGGTGGTTTGAATTGTTAAGGTTAGAAAGGGAAAAAATAAGGCCACTGGATGTGTGTACTATCACTCATCCGTGATCTCCCAAGCAGTTTAAATGAACTAGTTACCAGGTGGATTTGATACACCCACGAGCGAGTTAGCTATAACAGCTGGACAAAATTAATGCTGTGAACATTTATGACTCGAGTAAATCGCAGGAGGACAAAAAACAGAAAGGAAACAGAACACGTCAAATAGTGGCTCAAGAGATCCATGAATGGGAGAGATTGTGGTAGATCAACTGACCGATGTCTGCACAAATCTGCCTGATGATGGAGTCACTCAATCAGTGGATGTAACAAGCAGACCTTAAGCTGATCACGTGATATCAAGACCGCTAACTAACTAAGCATCAACTGGTCAGACAATCAGAGATCAATACATGTTCATCTCAGTCAGACATAGTGAAAACCGCATGGAGCCGGGATTGTCATGATTGATCGTGAGTGGGGAACGGTAGCCTATCATGTCCATGGTGATGAACAGAGTCGTCAATTCATCCGCCTCCGCTGTACATATGCATGCCGAAGGTATCTGTGGACTGTGATGTGACGCATTAAGTGACAAATATGGCTCAAACAGTGTGGTCAGTTCACAATCGGTGCTACTCCTCGACAAAGGAAAAGGTGAATGGCGTCCTTGTAACATTTGTTTGAAATGTATACGGATTATCTTAATATGTAATGCAAACGACTGTCCTAAAACGGAACCGGTGTTTCAGGTGAACAAGTGTTCGACGAGACTGCAACAGGTCTTGGGCAGCTAGTTGTTCGGCGACGGAATGTACGTAGCGGTCATGTGACCTCTTGAATTCCAATGTAAGAAATCGGTCGCACTATCGTGGGCATTTTGTCTCGGCACAGTTGCGGGAAAGCAAGTGACAGGGTTTCTTCATTCTCTTTCAATTATTTATTTTAGTTGAAGTAATTTTCAATTTGAAAATCACACATTTGGAATCTCGATACCACAAAACCGGAGGAATCTATTTGCGACAACGCGAACGTAACAATTGAAGCAAATGGGTCGCAGACAAGTAATGAAAACACGCAGGATAATTTCTCGTGCTGAAGTAGCCAACACGACTGAGTCTGGTAGGAGTCTGTGTCAGGACCACAATCAATCCATTCACAGACTCCATACGGTGTGTGAAAAACAGACGGAGACTGACAGTTGTATCGAACTGGTATGGAACACGCATGCCCACACGCACGCACGTACACAGACAAACAACTTACCAGATCCACCCGACCGAATCCGCCAACTCCGAGGACACAGACACGTTCGAGATCGCACAAGCGAATATTCGTTCGCAACGGTTGACCCGAGATAGATAAGTCTAGTGCGTTTGGTGGAGAATGTGGTAACGGGGACTGGGGTGTGGATGCGCCAGTGGGAGAAGTCGCAATGGTGGGGCCTGTGGTTGGGGCATCTGACTGTGGTGATTTGAATTCCTGAGAAGTCTCGTTCACCGTTGCAGTCGAGATTAAAAGGGACGAGTTGGCGTTGAAATCGGATTTCCTGATTTCGAGCGCGGACAGAGAGAGAGACCGTGAGTAGGGTGCAGAAATAAAAAAAAAAGGAAAGCATGTCACTAAAAACATCGCCTGGGAGGCAATCCTACTAACGACGTACGGATTGGGAAATGTGCCCAGTCTGGATAATGGTTCGTAAATGAGGCGTTTTCAGAGAGATAAGTTTCATACAAAAACAAAGTACCAAAAATACCGGCAGGTTCATTTGAGATAAATAATTAAGATGAATGTCTGTCCTTGCTCTTCTCAGCAGACAATCCTTCCCCCACACACTTATTTTTAATTAGCTTCCGAATAATATTTTCNCTTTTACTTCCTTTAATGGGGTAGACAAAGGTACAATTTTCAGGAAAAGAGGAAGCGGCCAATCACATGAAAGAATGATTGTCACACAAAGAAGATTGGAAGTTCATATACTCCCGCTAAATTACACTTACCAAAATGTGATGAACAGCAAACAAAGTGGCCGATACGAACAATGCTCGCAAAAATCAGCCTAATCCTCAAATCGTGCAATGGTGCACCACCAAAAAAACCAAGAGGACAGGACAGAGTTGGCACTGTATCGGGCCGGAGGGGGGGTGTGTCGAATTCGACTTGAGAATTTTCTGGATCGAGGAGGAACTCGCAAAAATTAGGTGTGTCAAAAATGTGAGAATTTTACTCACAAAAAAATTGTTCTCTGAACCTCCTGAAGATGTTAAGATCGAACTACAGCTCGGGGGAGAAACTGGAATACAAATGCCGAACAACACTGAAATCGAAAGGAGCCCCCCACCCCGGTGTTCAACTAATCTTAGACTCGAGAAATTTTCTATGGTCTCTTTGATTTGTCCATCTAATCTGAACCATGCGAGATCCTCTATAAGTGACAGAGAGAGAGAGAGAGAGAGAGAGAGAGAGAATTGAGGCTACGGAGCAGATGTTAACTCTGATACACAATGGGTTCTTCTTTTTCCCCGCCCGCAAACACGCATGCGGAGGAGAGAAATACCGCAAACATGTCATGATGACCAGTGAACTGAGTTGTACTCACTTGCTTGGAGATCGATTCTCTCCATCCATCATATACGGCTTGTTCTTCAACTCCTGAATGTCACCAATCAGCTCCAAGAAATCTCTGAAGTGGCAAAGAAAGAACAGATCCAAATGGTCGAGGAGACGAAAAGGGAAAACAACGTGAATGTCAAAGGAACTAAAAGTGTTGTATCGTTAGACTGATGTATTGCTGATGGCGGCAGAGAAATCGAAAGGCTAGAAAAGGATAACCACAGGCTGTGTGTGAATTACAACCAATCATTACGACCTGAGAAATAATGGCACACCCAAGCAGGTCACAACTACGTGGAAAGACCAAATTAGTTGCTGATACGTCATCATAACTAGAAGCATCCTAACGACACCAAATTACCACCAGGGTGATGACACAATGAACAGATGAAACCGGCCGGAACGATGGACTGGCGATACGGACGATTGTAGCCTTTGTGTTTCACTCATGTCACAACCACGTTCCAGGATATCCACAAATGAAATTCACTTTTTTGTCAGTAGGTCTGTTTATGCAATGTGCAGGCTTCACTATCTGACCGTCAAGAAAGCTGGAAAAAGCAGATTCATCTTCCTCTTAGGTTAACAGTAACCTGCCCCGAATGGTTTTGACTCAAGTTTTACCACATTATGATGATGCTCGCATCCCCTATTTAGAATAATGATCTCGCCGGGTACGTTTGACATCACAATTCTGGTGTGCAGTTTCGGGATTGTACTGGTTGAAGAACACGGTACACGGCCAATCGGTCATAAAATCAATAATAAATACTAAATGATACTGAGTGTACAGTTTTCAATCGAACTGTGTTCAGTTGGGGCAATACAGGGGAAATTTTTTTCTGTTAGAGCTTGGCACAGTGAATTCGATGAGGAATTTCACGACGGGAATCTGACAGGGAATAAACAAGCTCAATCACAGTCCTTCAAATAGACACGGACGAACGGGTTGATGAGGATTTCAAGAAAAATGGTCAGTTTAAATTCGCACTGAACTCGTGGAACCGAAGATTTCACCGCCTATTCAGTTTCAATTTCAGTTTTTACAACCTTTATCCATGCACTTTCGTGCGCCGGTTTTGGTTGCTGTCTTTTAGTTGCCCATTTGGATAAAAGAGCGAAATGAAGATTGGAATGTTGAAGCAAATTTAAGCGGAAGATGAGGAATTCATATAGAGTGGTGTGAGGAGAATAACGAGTGGATGCAAGAGCGCCACTGTTTGCGACACCCAGCCATATCACTCAGTGTAGCTAACCATCGGTGACCATCATCCCGAGGTCCCCAGCCAGGGAGCCTAACGGGGCCTATGTGACCTAGTCTCCTGGTTAGGGTTTTCATACCCTCATGCCAGGTCTTAGTTTGACCACC